AGTATTTTCCATACTGATTTTACAGAGATGATTTTTACCTTTTTCTTTAATTAAAAGCCTTCTTTTTTAAGAACCAGATTGATTTCTCCTTGTTTTAAGATCCAAGGGGGTTTGGATCTGCATTCACCAGGAGTTGGTGAAAGGAGGGTGGGAGGAAGGAGGGGGGATGGTTAATTTCTCCTTGTTTTAAGATCCAAGGGGGTTTGGATCTGTGTTCACCAGGGAATTGGTGAAAGGTTTCTCAAGGCTTCCCAGGGAGGGAATTCTTGTGATGGTGGCAGCGGACCAAAGCTAAGCTGGTAGATAAGCTTAGAAGTTTTCATGCAGGCCCCTACATTTGAACCCTAAAGTTCAAAGTGGGGATACAGCCTTGACAGCTCCACTGGAACAGATGCAGAAGGAACATACTAAATCCGCACAGTGATTCTAGCATCGGAAAGGCTCAGTCTGAAAAGCAGCCATGTGTGAGGAAACAACGTAACGCTGCCTTAGTGGGTGCTTAAACATGGTCTCCACTAGGACCAGTTTTGTAACTTCTGTAAATAAAGCTATGTAAGTGACATTCAAGAGTGTCCAAAATAAACGTAATGTTCAGTTATTTTGTAATCCACTTGAGGGGCTGAAGAGAAATACTTATTGATGTATTCATGCTCAGAGATAAAGCTGGCTTAATATATAATAAAGGCCTACAGTCCAGTGACTCAGGACATCATTTCAGTAAATCTCAGAAATTCTAAGGAAAAGTATAAGGGATGAAATGTTGTTACTGGGCCATTGGGTCGCCTGTATCTTTTTGGTACGTGTATAACACTACTATCGTGAGCTGTAAGTATGAGAACTCATAGCTACAATTTTTTTTTCAATTCTATTCTGTTGCCTAGTGTGAGACTCATTGCCAGACCAAGTAATCAGACCTAATTCTCACCTAATCTCATTGTTTATTATTTATACAGTGTCATGGGTATACATTGCACTAAACAGACAAAAACAATAATAATTCCCTCCCTTGAGAACCTCATGAAATATGGGCTCAGTCCTGTAATCTGTTCTGTTTGGGTACACCCTTGTATTCTTGCTGTGTACCATTGTAAGTGTACCCTTAAGACTACCTATCTAGATACTTACGTTGCGTAGGAGGTCAGAATATCATAGTGGTCCCCTGTGCAGGGCTAGGGCTTAAATAGGAGTTTGCATTCAAAAACTCATCTACCAGTGATAATGCAGAAAACACATTTGAAACTTTTCTAATTTATTTCATGTTTAGTGGAGACTTCAAGACACTTAAGTTTAAAAAAAAAAAAAAAAAAAAAGACAAAAATGGGCTAGGATACCAGGGGGATGAAGAGAAGCAGATGGCCTTTTTCCCCTTCTCTTTTCATAAATAAAAACTGAAAGTCACTTTTGGGGCTCTGAAATACATGCATTTCTATTTATTCCCAGCCATAGTGTACTTGAGAAAACTTTGGTAGTTGACTGTTGCCTGACAATAGCTAATTATTTCTTTGACAAAAAATACTGATTTTTGTCACTGATTTTTTTTATGCATAAAATTAACTGGATACATGTAAAACTACAATGTTAAACAAATGTCAATTGTTCACTTTAACATGCACTGGTAGAAGGAATAGAACCTCTGGTTTCACTTAAAATCCTAAATGGTAGGAGAGTTCTGCCTGAGTAAGAACTACAGGACTTTGCTATAAGTGGGTAAATTTGAAACAATACAAATGTCCACAATAAGCAATATTTTCATTGGCAGGTTGGTAACATATACTGTACTAGCAAGTATCACAGTTCAAAAAAAAAAATTTGCTAAAAAAAAAAAAAAAAAAAGGCAGTGTAGTAACCACAGGATATTTTCAGTAGACTGGGTTCCATACATTACCTGGAGTTCACAGGAGAGACAAGTACATAATAGCCTGGCAAGGAGTTTATTAATAGTAATATTAGTGATTGGTCTCAATCCATTGTATTATCTCATTCTTGTACAAGGGAGAATTGTCTGGCTCCTTTACAGCTGAGAGTCCAGTTAAAAAAAATAACCACATTCATTAGCTAGATCTAAAAGAGGAAGCTGATATATAATTTGGCCAGAATTACAGAAAGCAAACTTGTCTAGAATAACTTTGGTGAGAGCAATTATGTGAGTTTATGCATGTGAGGGATGGCTTTTTTCCCCTCACCCATCATAGCAACTCTCACTTCAACCAAGGAGGACTGTATCCAATCCTCTCTGGAACCCATCAATGTTATTTCCAAATGTCACTGTTGGTTAGTAAAGAGCTTTCTAATTGTTGGCCAGAAAGGATTGCTTAAGAACAACTGTTTACACAAGGACTTTTAAGGAACAGGTATTGGCTAAAATTGCTTAAATTATCCACTAAAACTTAGAGATAATTTATCATCAACTTGTCTACACATCTAACAAATGCCAGGTCTGATCTTTCACTTGTAGGTAATCTGTTTATTTATTCATTAGTTAAAGTCCTATAAACATACAATATCTTGAGCAAGTCCCAAGGGTCTTCCTCCATCTATACTTTTATTGCTTCGCAAACCAAATCCCTGAGTGCTAAGTGAACTTTATGAACAGCAGTACAGTGGAGATCCAAGAATACTGCAATGCTGATACTCCCCCCCCCACTCAGCCATTTAAGAGGCAGAAAACTGAGAAATTATGTCAATGCAGCAAGAATGTGCTTGCCCAAAAGAATCAGTTTGCATAATTTGGCTTTTAAAAGCATGTACAGTCAGAAAGCTTATGTGGTAGTGGTTTTCAAACACACTTAGAGTAAATTGTACAATTAGCATAGAATAGTATGAGTAGTTCTATTAGCACAAACGGCACAATAGAAGCTGGATTTGTCTTAATATGTGATAGTACTTCTGGTGTCAGGAGGGGGAAAGGGCGGCTGTGCCCAGGTGGGGATTTATCCCCCCAGAGAAGAGCAGCAACTGCCTCCCCTCTCCTGGGTATTTTTGCTGAGAGAGAACCTGATGCTCTTCCAGGGGCTCCCCAGGATCCTGCTGGTTGAATCTGCTCAGGAACTGTGGAAAAAATTTATCATCATCACCCCTCAGCCAACCTGCCCACACCCCCTTACCAGTGAATGCCAATCATTTTTGGAGCACTAGCTACTTGTGCTGGGACATTGGGGGGGGGGGGCATACAGAGTGCTCATTATGGTCCCAGACATCACTGTCCTAAGTCACTGGCAATTTCCATTGTCATATTATCCATCAAAATCAGGAGCAGTCTGCACAGACAACTTACTAGACTGGAAGGGCCAGAAAGTGTGAGGTAGTAGCTGTGAAGGCAGCTTTCTCCTGGTCAGGGCCCACTGTGTATGTTACATTTGCTAAAAGAACATCTTGAAGTAATTTTTGTTTTAAGCTATTTTAGCAAAAATGTTTAATTTTGTTTTGAGAGGCAAATGCCTCAATTTGTCTATGAAAAGTCTTTAGGTGATGTAGACTACCATGGGGGAGAAAAGAAAGCTATTAAAATAACACAATGAGCAGTCAGAGCAAGCTTTGTTTGCCCCATTCCAATCGGTGCCCAATGGTATGGCATATTTTAAATATAGATTAACAGACCCAGATGAGGAAAAGATTTTGCCTGAAGTTCTTTTGAAACTTGGTTTGGCATCAAGCCATCAGCACTCAGGAGCGAGGAAGGAAAAATCCATATCCCTTTCCGTACAAACTCAAAAATCAATATGTAAATGCCACCTAGTGGAGTGCAAGTAGGGTGCTAATAGACAACAAGCTATTTTCTAATACACTGAAATTCCTTAGGATGGAACAGTGTTGTGCCTGGGCAGACGCTATTGTACTTCTCCCAGTAAATTCCCCAAGTGCATGCCAGCAAGTGGGATTCTGACTGAAACACTTTGTTGGAGGTGTGATGCTAAGGGTACGTCTATACTACCCGCCGGATCGGCGGGTAGTGTTCGATCTATCTGGGATCAATTTATCGCGTCTCGTCTAGACGCGATAAATCAATCCCCGAATCGACGCCTGTACTCCACCTCGGCAGGAGGAGTAAGCGGAGTCGATGGGGGAGCTGCGGCGGTCGACTTGACGCCGTGAGGACAGCCAGGTAAGTCGAACTAAGATACTTCGACTTCAGCTATGCGAATAGCGTAGCTGAAGTTGCGTATCTTAGTTCGAACCCCCCCGCTAGTGTAGCCCAGGCCTTAGGAAATGTAAAACTGAGATGCCAACAATTGCACCTATGACTCCATATGCCTATTACACATTCGTTTACTCAGTTTGAATCTCCTGGGTGTGCTTTTTTTTTTTTTTTTTTTTAAAATAAACTAATTACAGTGCCAGGAAAATGGAAGAACTCGTGTTACTTTGACTACTTGGAGGTGTGATAGGAAAACCAAGAAGGAACATGAAATAACTGCATTTATGGGACACCTCCAGTCATGATTGATTCAGTTAAACTTTGCAGGATGGATCCTCGTTTGATATAAATCATCACATTTTGTCTTCAATGGAGCTACTTTGATTTACAGGGCCAGATGCTCAGGTGGTGTAACTAAATACAGCTTTTTTGCCTTTTTTTTTTTTTGGTGTGGCACAAATGATAACACCATTGGGGATTTGCCTAGAAATTCAAAAAGGGCTAAAAATGTACAATCTCTTTGTAGTTTTGGCCCACAGAAACAATCCTGCACTCTGCACATGAAAGTCTCCTTTGGGAATCCTGTGTAGAGGAAATACAAGATTGGGCTATGACTTTCTTCTGCAGTTGCTTCAAGTTTGAGGACAGGATATGTCTTAGCTTTTGCTGAATATCAAAATGAAACTCATTTGGGCAGATGAGAAACTTCCACTAGCCTAAGATAAAATAAGTGTTAGACTAAATATCTCCAACCATAATTAACCACTAACTTAATATATTACGTACCCCCATTGGTGCTTCATGGGTCATTAGACAATGTTCTTTGGATTTTCATTTGTCAAATATAAACAGTGCCAATACCTACTCAAAATACAGAGTGAGATCTGTTGCCAATATTGACTGCTTCAGAAGCTGCATAAGGTCGCTGTACTCCTTGGAGGACAAGTTAGCAAAGATGTTGTGACCCTGTAATGAAAGAGAGAGAGAAGGTAAAGGACTAACAATCATTATAGATTTTTTAAAAGATTTCTAACACTGTAATCTGCCCCATTTTGCTACACAGAAGTTTTTTCCGAATCATGATAAAACCATGATAAAATAATAAAGTTAATGCTACTGAGATTACATTAGGACAGGAAGTGTTGGCCACTGTATTCAAAAAGCTGGGCTGTGTTTCTTAACTGTGCTAATATTACAGCCTCTTGCAAAAAGATTTATTCTTTAGTCTGACTCTGCACAGACCCAGTTTATGGAGGAAAAACTATGGATACATCTCAATCTTTCCCTTTTAGCAAATGTTTTTGGAGCTGTGCTTTGTGGCTTTTCAGTTGTGCTGCCAACAGATTTATCTATGCTGCTGCTCAAAGGCATGCAAGCTGCTGTTAGAGCAGTCAAAGACACTAAATCAGTTTTTCATTCAAAATACAGGCTCTCCACTCACCCTGACTATTTTCCACTATCTCACTGTATGTACAGGCTTTAGTAACTCAGACTGAGGAGAAGCTAAGTTTGTACAGCCCTAGACCTTGTGGGCCCTGTAAGAAGGCACTTTTTAAAGGACGGTGAAGGCTTATGATTCTGGAAAATGTTTTACAGCCAGAATGAAAGGGAACAAATTATTTAATGTTGCTGTTTTGGGAAAGGAAGATAATACTAACAGTTTTATAGTTAGAGACGTGTCAAATAAGGGGGAACACAGAGCCCACCATTTATCCAGAGAATACAAACTGAATGAAATTTGCAGTTGAATTTGGTTGAACTTTAAGCTAATACTGGACTTTGTAACGTCAGTCACATATGATTACATTCACATATTAACATCACACTTAGGTATTGCTTCCTACTCTTAGATATAATGATGTTTTTGGTAACTGAATCTAATTTTGATAGTTGACAGCAGTATAATTTTCATATCCAATGTGCACTGCCATCTAGTGCTTAGGAAGAAGCTATAACACTATAAAGAAAACAAGAGCTTTCCATACATAAGGGGCATCTTTTCTTCCTCTAGTGACCTTAATCTTGTAAAAGATTTCCTTTCACCTATGTGTTGGGAAGGTGAGGGGAATTCTAGAAGACATTTAGTTATAGACTACAACTTAGGTATGGTGTACAAAGAAAAGCCCAAACCCGTATGTGCTCAAAAAACAGTAGATACTCACAGCATAGAATTACTTACTAGTAAATCTGAAATATTATATAATAAACAGCTAACAAAGGGCTATCCCACTATATTCAAGGCTTTATTGCTTGCTGAACTATTTCATAATGTATAAGGCAACATCACCACAGCACAAAACCCATGATCACGTGTGTCAAAGGTGCCTAGACCAAATACAGGCACCTTTTTTTTGTTCATGCTGATAGAAATCTAAAGAAATAATACAATATGCTATGACATTTCCCCCTAGAAAACACAGCTAGACTAGAATATTAAACACTAACATATAGAGTGTAATCTAATTTCAGCCCACTAGAGTGAGAGGTCCAGATACTTGGTGCAAATTTGCGTGTTATCTACTTGCAAAAGCAGAGGATCTGAATTTGTCTCTATTCCCAGTTGGAGAGTGTTTGGTTCCATCTGTGAATTTTTTATACAGACAAGTAACAACTCACAGAATGTACGACTTAAAATCATAGCAGGGTGAATTGGATGGAGTTGCCAGGACAGATGATGTTTGGATGATGAAAGAGAAGGAGTAAATTGGGTAAGGGAACACTTTGCCCAGGGAGGGAAGAAGTTTTTCATAGATTTGTGGGGATTTTTTTGAGGCCAGCAGGGACCATTAAATCATTTCATCTGACCTCCTGTATCACACAAGCCCTCCCGTTTTGAGCCCAATAACTTTTGTTCCACTAAAACACATTTTCCAGAAAGGCACCCAGTCTTGATCTGAAGATATCAAGAGATGGAGAATCCACCACTTCCCTCAGTAATATGTTCCAATGATTAATCATCTTCCTTGTTTAAAAAAAAAAAAAAAAATTGTGGCTTGTTTCTAATTTGATTTTTGTCTGGCTTCAGCTTCCAGCCATTGGTTCTTGTTATGCCTTTCTCCACTAGGTGAAAGAGCCCATTGGTACCTGGTATTTTTCCCTGTCAAAGCACTTATCAAGTCTCCCCCCAAACTCGTTTTTGATAAACTAAATAGATTGAACTCTTAGGCTTGTTCTACTCTAGTAACTTTATTTTGGTATAATTATGTTGCTCAGGGCTGGTCAGTTATGCTGACCTACCTCCCAATGTAGACAGTGCTATGTCGAAAGGAGGGCTTCTACTGTCAACACAGCTACTGCCTCTCGGGGAGAAGCCCTCCCATTGGCTGAAGTGCTACAGTGGCACAGCTGCAGCGTTTTAAGTGTAGACAAGCCCTAAGTCTCTTAATATGAGGTGTTTTTTTCCAGCCCTCAATTCATTTTTGTGGCTCTTCTCTGCACCCTCTCCAGTTTTTTCAACATTGTTTAAAAAATGTAGATACCAGAACTGTAAGCAGTATTCTGGTATTGGTCTCACCAATGCCATGTACAGAGGTAAAATCACCTTCCCATTCCAATTCACTCCTCCCCTGTTTATACATCCTTGGGTTGGATTAGCCTTGTTGCTCCAGCATTGCTCTGGGAGCTCATGTTTGGCTATTATAACCCCTAAATCATTTTCAGAGTCACTGCTTTCCAAGATGCAGTCCCCCATTTTGAAGATATGGCTTTCATTTTTCTTTTGATGAAGATATTCTGTAAAAAGTCAAGTGCCCAACTTAGTAACTACCGGTATATGATTTATTTTTGTAACCAGTGTCTGCCTATTTCCCCCACTTATTGTTACACCACTAGTTTGTCACATCATGCGTACAATTAAAAAGTAAGCTCTTCAGGGCAGGGACTATACCTCCCCATATATGTGGAAGCTCCCAGCACACTTTGGGTGTTACTGCAGTATATGTAATAAACCCAACAGCAGTTATTGAAAATACAAAACTAAACACTCCAAGCATACTGTACATATTGTGGTTGCCCATAAAAGGAAAGCAGGTTTTTATTTTTACAAGAGAAGGTGAGTGTGACAAGGTAAACACATTAGCTGGGAAAGGATTAAGAGTTCCTTGGCTATCAAATGGCTGAGAAGGGTATACATAAGAAAGATGAATGATCCAAGGGGGATAGAGGGGAAGATTATGTCCTTTTCCCCTGGCTGAATGAGGCAGGGAGAGTCTCAGGGGAAAATAGTCAGCAGTTGCAGTTAAATTGTTTTATGTTGTGTTGTGTGAGAGCTTTGTGGTAGTCAGTAAACGCTGCCCGGAGGAAAGGGCCATTAAAGGAGTTTGGGCATGGGATGTGTTTCCCTGGAGGTGAAACAGCCCCCCACCCTACAGTGAAAGTAATAATCCAGCTAGTCTGGTACCTCGCTTTGAAGAATCATGACAGCATGATTAAAATGATGGTGCTCCAAAGTTGCAGAAGTTCCATAAAGTTGAGCCAAAGCTGATCCGCTCCTGAAACAGAACAAGGGACATTAGCAATTAGCATCTGCCCTCTTACTAAACACATTTTAAGTGATGTCTTCACCCAAACACTCTCCAATATGGTGTATGGAAATGCAGAGATGAAAGTCCATAGCTCAATGTACTAATCCAGGGATCGGCAACCTTTGGCCCGTGGCCCGTCAGGGAAATCCACTGGTGGGCCGGGACGGTTTGTTTACCTGCAGCGTCCGCAAGTTTGGCCAATCGCCGCTCCCACTGGCCACGGTTCCCTGTACTGATCTATGGCTAGACCCAATTAATATTATAGACCTGCAGGTTCTGGACCCTGTTAAGTCTGCTTTGACCAGCTAAGGATTCCTCCTGAGCAATACAGACATTTTGGGTGAGCTTTTCAAAAGCACCTAAGTGATGGTGCCTTATCACTGTCTGTAATAACAAGAGTAATCTGATGAAGTGGGCATTCACCCACGAAAGCTTATGCTCCAAAACATCTGTTAGTCTTAAAGGTGCCACAGGACTCTCTGTTGCTTTTTAAGAGTAAGACTAGTTTCATTCCAAATTAGGTGACGTTTTGTATATGTTCCATATACTGCAGGGGTGTATTATATATATATACAAACACACACACAGTCACAGTCACAGACAGTCACAGACATGTAATATACGTAGTGGAGCAGGGATTGCCTTTTCCTCTACCTTTGTACCAAGCCAGTCCCTAATACATATAATAACAATGGTAGATAGCAGGTATTTGCAAAATTCTGCTGTAAAAGAGCTCAAGGGTAATTAAAATGCTGTCCCTGCAGTGGGCAACACCAGAGTGGTTTTAAAATTACTAAGGAGAAAGAGGAAGCAAAAACAGAAGCGGAAACCATAAAAGTCTAACATTCTTAGAATATATTTCTAATCATGGTTATTTTTTTATAAAAGCTAGTTGCAAAATATGTAGCATACAGTTTAAAAGTTCTAAGCTGAAACTTTAAAGGAAGAAAAACTATGAAATGTAATTATGAAATTGAGAATTGTTGGAAGGTGGAGGGGAGTGGGATTGGACTGTCAGAGTAGATTAATGTTCACCAGTATTTCACTTCTGAGACCCAGCCTAAAGCGACAAGATGGGTTTTCTTTCCAAAGAAATGAGTATAAGAGATTATGCTAGAAACGAATAGCAGGCGTCTCCTAGGAGCATATACTACAAAGCTGTACCATACTGATATTTAATCATCAGGGGCAGCTGTAATAGAGAGGGGGATGAGTGGGAAACATCATCCCTAGAGAAAACAGTGCTGAGGTGTACTAACAGAGCAATTTCAGAGAACTTTGATGCTGCTTCCATCATATACCTCTTGATCTTTCATCACACAAAACACTGGTACTCGGCACTAAGATAAAACAGGAAAATATGATGCTTAACTTTATAAGTAAGCTTGGAAGAATAAATCACAGCTGCTGTTATGAGAGGTACAATTTCTGTTTTCAGGGATATTTTATCTGTGTGTCATGTCGTCTCTTAAATGTCTTCAATAATTTCTTTCTGGCATTAGAAAAAGACAGTATCCTCTTTGTACTCAGTTGTCAGTTGTACTGGAAGTGACAGCATTCAAGTGCTGAAATCCTCTATTTCAAACTTCCCAAGAGAAATATTACATTCCAATAAACATTCCAATAGAGAAACGGTTAGGTTAATCAGAGTCTGAGTCTATAGGGATTTAAATCCTACACAAGTCTTATCTCTGTGAATTAGGAACATGAAAATCAATCAGCAAAGTTTTCCCATTTGTCTTACACAGTTTTCCCTTTTTTCTGCTTCTCGCCAAGACTCCAGCAGCATAAAGCAGCTGATGATACTTTGTAACCTTTGCACCAGTAGTCCTGTCTCTTGAGCACTGCAATTGATTTTTCTTGCCTTGGTAAGTGACAAGCCAGACAATGTCATTGTTTCATTGAGAGTGAGCAGCAGCTGAGGAAACAGCAGCTTAAGGAAATGCTAACTGGGTGCATCAGAAACATCAACACGGGTGGAGTGTAATGAGCCAGTTTGCCCTAAGAAACAAAACAGTCAATGTACACTACACACTGTGGCACACGTGCTCCTTTTTTGCACAAAAATGTGTCGAGGGGGAATAAATTAGCACAACAGCTCTCTGGCTTTCAAATAGCTGTGGAGTTGGCCACCTCTCCCTTTGGTCCACAGGACTAGCAGCAGGGCAGAGCCAGAAAACCGTGCTGTGGTCCAGGGACCACAAAACCCCGATCTTTTTCGGATTCTGGTTATCTGCAGATGGTCACGTTTCCTTTATTGCAGTGAGCCAAGGAAACAATATAGGTCCTGCATTAGACATCTATCTGACAACTCCATTGCAGAGCTCAGCTGGGATGTTGTAATGGGAGATTTCCTGACCCCTTCCAAACATGGATGGCAGTGGTGGGAGTGGGAAAGGAGAGAGATGCCCTTTGATCAAAGGAACCTCCTTATCACCACAGTAAAAAGGAAGGGAATAAACTCTCCCTCCCCCCACTACACTGAACTGCCTCTACCAGCAATCACGTGGAGCAGGGGACTGCTTGTGGCAGTAGAGCATAACTGTGTAAGTAAGGGTTGCAGGATCAGGCCCAGGACCCCTAAACTAGATTTCCTTTTAGAGTGAAATTCACTGGGATCTGTACAGCAGGTGCAAGACTCCACTTAACAGATAAGAATCTGAATAGAAAGTCTAATACACAAGCTCAACAGCATATCCATCAACCAGCTGGCCTCACAGAGGTGCCTTCACACACCCTGTGCACCATGCCAGAGGTCTCCAAGCCAGCCCCATAGTCTCATTGGGGCTAGGCCAGAAGAGAAGCCACATACTTGTGTTTGTATGGAACTAGTGGCCCTAGTATTCCGCACAGCGGGTGTGGCGGAGTTAGGCTGGAATAACTGCCACATCAGATTGCACAGATCCCCACACCATAGTTTTAGGTTGGTGGCAACCATTCCACGTGCCAAAGATTGAAAACTTTGGCTTTATGCAGGTGGAGTGAATGTCACCCTTTTGTGGACACAAGGCTTCAGTTTTACCTGCTTTTATTTAAATGTATTAAATAACCAGAAAAGGTTTCACAATGATTCCAACATACCAGCCAAAGAGAGATTGGGGCATTTGCAATGCTTCTCGTGCTCAGTGTCGGCAGGTCTCTAGCTGGCAGATACTCTGACTGGAGGGATCATCAGTGTTTGGCATCACATTTCTATATTAGGTGTTAGTTCACAAGGGGCAACCCAAATCAAGAGCATGACACAAAGGGCAAGTCAGCAATTACCAAAAAGAATAGGGAATTATAAAGATGGATAGTCCCTCATTACATGTAAGCACAGGAATACTTGGCCTTGGCCTAGGAGCCTGGAAATTAATGCTTCATTCTTTATCCCCTGTCACCTTTTGCTCTGATATGGAAGGGAAACAAATTAAAGTAATAAGAATTAGAAAACTTACTTGGCTTGGAAGGCATTGTTGGTTCCCCTGTGGTCAAGGTCGTGACATAAACATCCCACAATCAAAGCTAAAATTTCAATTTCAGTCAGAATCTCCTGAAATCCTGCTGTCTGAGAACAGAAAAAATAACTATCAGAAGCAGGAAGGATAGATAATGTTAGTCCATCGAGTAACAGTCATCTTTGTTTTGAAACCACCATCCTTTAAATAAGGACAAGATAAATGCTTTGTTGTCATATTATGTTCACTGCTATATGCTAGATGGTTAGTGGAATAGATAATGTCCTTGTAGTGATCTATTATTATCTCTGTCACATTTTTAATACTCTCTTCCCCAGTACCCAGAAGGTGCAGTGGGAAAAGAGCTGAAAATAAAAATTCTTACACACCAAGATGAGAAGTTGAATTTACTTATGTGAAAAACATGAAACAAAATCAGTTCCATTTTAAAATTACTGTTAAGTAGACAGAGACTTCTTAGATCCTGAGGTGCTTATTTGTTGTACATTGCTGGAGACAACTTACAAGCTAAATCAAAGAAGGCTTAAAAGAGAGAAGCTAAATATCAGCTATGCAAATACTAAAGCAGTCAGAGACTGTTTTGTTCACTGCAACAAGGGGATTAGAAACAATGTTCCATAATTTTAGGTGGAAACACTTTGAATAGCATAATTCTACTAGAAATATCCTGCATGAGTTTGAGAGGAGATTTTTCTTAAGTAAAGCACTGGAATTCTTCAGCAATAAAACTGATATGGTAGATATGAGACATACAGAATGTACTTTAGGCCAAATCATGGCCACCTTAGCTCACATGTGCTGTTGTTGTTGTTTTAACTTCCAATTTCTGTCTTGGGTTGGATTTGAACTCTCAGTGTCTCGGACAATGCTTAGATTCATGAGTTATAATGCACCATTGGCACCAGTTAGGTCCTGTCCAAATATGCTGGTGTGAAGAGAAGAGGTGATGATGCAGGAAACCCCTTCTGACACTAGAATTCCCCTGCAGGGAGGTAGCCATACAGTAGTTTGTCTGCCTGAGCAGCCTGAGACCAGGGGAGGAGGTACTAGCATTGCTGATCGTGCTAAATTTCCCAGAAGGGGGTTGCCTGGGTTGTTGGGTGTGCCATTGGCAGACCGCTGTGCTTTGAAGAGCTGCTCTAGAAGGACTGCCTGATATCCTTTTTCTAAAGACACAGCAGAACTCTCTTACGAATTTGCTCCCACACAGCACTCGTGGAGATATTATGCCTGCTCCTGCCCTGCGCAGGCATAATGTCTTCACACACCTCAAATCACACACGTTGCACTCCGTACTACCCCATTCCCTCGGCGCCTTTGTTCCTAAGAGGAATAATTTGATCCTCAGATTTTGAAAAAGCGTATGGTAATGTTGACACCAAAAATGACAGGCTAAGGTAGGAAGTCATGATATGGGGCCTGACTTTCAGCAGTGCTGAGCACCAACAAATTTAACTGAAGTCCATGGGAGTTGCAGATGCTCAGCACTTCTGCACGATCAGCTCCATAGAATGCAAAATAGTTTGATGGATAGCAGAGTATCTCCGAGAAGGTAAATAAGCAATTATCACTGTGAATTTCTCCAGCTCAAAAGAGGTTAGCACTGGAGAAGACCAGATATTGATTTCATCAGTTGACCTTTGTCAGGAAGATGCATTATGCAAATGATTTTATTGAGAATATGGTATGTAAAATAGAAAAGTTTGCTAATAAGGCCAAAAGCAGAGTTGTAGAACAAGGCAACCAGATTCAGAGAGATTTTGAGCTTTTAGTTGACAAGCTCAGTAAATGGAAAATGCAGTTTAATGCAGGCAACTATTTAAAAAAAAGACAAGGGGTGTGAGGAGGAAAAACAAAATATAGAGTGTTTTAGACGCAGTGTACTGACCCAGGATAAGGATTTATTGGTTACTATAAAAAAAATCCTTGGAGCCATCAACCCAGTGTATGTCTGCAGTAATAAAGGCAAGCAGGATACTGGGCTGCGTCAGCAAAGGGACGGAGTACAAATCAAAATTCCTAGATAGAGCTTATCTAGAATTCTGTATTCAGTTTGGGTTCCAATAGCCCTAGAGCACAGAACCTCAGAATCTCAAGCTGATTTTGGTTATTATAAGGAAACACTTAAGGAGGCTTTGTTTATTCAAGAACAGAAATCTCTGACGAACTAGGGTGGCTCATTTAATGAAGGAATTAAATCAACTGCTTACAATTGTTGAAAAGTAAAGGATACCATATAAAATTATGAATACAAA